CCCGCCCGGCTTGGCTGCCGCGCTGGAGCAGGGGCTGGAGGCAAACACCGGCCATTTGGGCACTTCGGCAAACCCCGGGGCTGTCTGAGCTCCCTTTTCCGCTGTGCGCAGCGCCGGGGACGCTGTGAAGGGCAGGCAGAACAGTGAATCCAGCCAGCCATGTCCCTTTTTCCCTGGAATCTCTGCCGAGTTTCCTGCCCCGCTCAGCAGAAGCTGACCCTGACACGTGGTTTCATCCCCTCGCCTCTGTGCTGGGTGTAAATCCCTGTCCGGTGGGCTGCCTCCCCTGCGCCTCTGCCTGACCACGCTGTGACCAGGCTGTCCTTCCCTCTTCGCAGGATAAGGAGATCCGGGCTGTCTTCCTCCGCTTGTTTGCACAGCTGCTTCAGGGTTATCGCTGGTGTCTGCACATCATCCGCATCCATCCCGAGCCGGTCATCCGATTCCATAAGGTGAGGTGCTGGCACGGGCAGACGGGCGCAGGGGCTGGCCGGCACCTCCGGCACCTCCGGCACGCTGCTGGGTGCTCCGGTCTGAGCGTCCCGAGGGGAAAACAGCTGCTGGGAGCAGCGGTGTGATGGGGAAGGAGGAAGCCTCTGGGGCCTGGGCAGCGAGGGAGGGCAGGGAGTGCGTTTCAGCACGTGACTCGGCTCCATCTGCGCTACGGCCTCCTGTCCACACGGCAGAATTATGTTTTCGGACTGTCCTATGGAATAACTCTTTTCCAGGTGGGTTGGGCGGAGGTTGGGATGAGTTGGTCTGTGGAGAGGTTTGCACAAATACAGCTGTATCTAGAAGACAGATTTGAGTTTGCAGCGAGTGACCTCTCCTGCACCACTCCCACGTCCACCTGCATCCCTTGTCTGTCCTTGACCGTCCCGAGGTCCTGCGGGTCAGAGAGCCCTTCCCTGTTTATGCCCCTGTGTGGTCAGATGCGCTGCAGCTGGTGTCCCCCGCGCCTGGTGGCAGGCAGCCTTGGAGGCTCACAGAAGGTGTCCCTCACGTCCTGGCCTGGAGCCGGGGATTTTCTAAGGTCTGGGGAGAGGAGGGAGGCAGCGCCCGCCTTCCCCGGCGCTTCCGGGGCATTCGCTCTGCCGGAAAGATTGGCAGAGGAGGGAGAGCAGGGAAAAAGCTTGAAGCGTTTGGGCATCCGTGGAGGAGACCGTAACGCGGGAGAAGGCGACACGGGGAGCGAGAGCAGAGGGACTCGAGCGTGGTGGTGGCCCCGTCACGCAGCCCGCAGCCCTGCCGCAGCCGTGCCCTCCTGCTGCACGCTGCAGGTCGCTGAGGTCCTTCCCGCTGCCGGCACCTTTCCCCTCTGCCCAGCCCGCCCCGAGGTCAAGGGGACGGTACCTTGTACCCACAAAAGGTGTGTGGCAGCACGCACGTGCCGTGCACCGCCCGGGCTCGTGCATCCCCAGCGCTGCGCTGCGCTGCGTCAGGTGCTCTGGTCTCGGACATTTGAAGTCGGCAGCGTGTTCATAAGGGGTTTGAACTATTTTTTTTCGCACTCAATAAAAGGTTATTCCCGAGAAAGATTCAGTGGTTCCATAAAACCATAAACATGCAGTAAACATGAGAAAATGGCCATTCATAAAACCACTATAAAGTGAATGAAGCATCATGAACTTGCATTTCATAAAATCATTGCACGCAGCAACTGCAGGCAGTACAAAATAGCCTGAATTTCACTTATTTAGCTGCCTTGGTCACGGCAACATCTGCGTGTCTCTCACGGTGGGTATAGGGAACGGGACTCAGCAGTCCGTGTTCTGGTGCAGGGCCCGTGGCTGCCGCGCCAAGCCCCGCGCCTCGCGGCTCCTTCCCCTGGAAAGGGGCTGGTCCGGCTCCTCCGCGGGGCGGCGAGGAGGGCGAGTGCCGGTGGCAGAGTGGCCCAGAGGTCCGTAGCATTGTCGGGGCTGTGGGCGAGCGGTCCCTGCCAGCGCACCCTCGTCCTGTCCCACTCGGTGAGTCAGTGCAGCGAGCGGGCGAGGGCGTTGGGAGGAGCAAGAGCTGTTCCCCACCGGCTGCTGCTGGAGGCACGTGGTGGACTCCAGCTGGTGGTTCTCGGGTGGGATGAGCTCCCATGCTCATCTGCCGAGGAGACAGTCATAGGGGCTTTCTGCAGCACCGGAGAGACGTGG